AGTAGCCTATTTTTGGCAAGCACAGTCATGTTTAAGATCTAGTGTACTTGATTATTTATGCCAAAATTTGTAAAAAGTTTGAATACTTTATCTTCAATTTAATATTTTTCATGGGCTCTAGTTGTATTAGTTACTGCGCCTTTAAACATATTTCTCATTTCATCTTTATAAGGTGCTCATACTTCTACAGTTTGGCTGGGGCATTGCAATCCCAGCTGGGCTTATTCACACACTTGAGGGCCAGATGACCTATCCTGGGCTCAGCTGCTTGATTCTATTTTGAGTTATAGGTTTATAGTCACTCAGATGACTCTGTACCATGCATCTCTCTTCTTCTTATATTAGCAGGCTGGTCAGAGTATATTCTTTTTATGGCAATGGCAGAGGTACAAGAGATAAACCTTCCCTGGCTGGTGTGGCTCAGTTGTTTCTGTGTCGTCCCCTGCTGGTTTGATACCCAGTCAAGGCACATGCCCGGGTTGTGGGCTCCACCCTCAATAGGGGGCATGCAGGAGGCAGCTGATGGATGTTTCTCTCTCATCGATGTTACTCTCTCTCTCTCCCTCTCTCATCCTCTCTCTGAAATCAATAAAAACATTTTAAATAGAGGCAAGCCTTGCCTGCATTACATGCCTAACATCCACAAGTTCCATGGCCAAGCCCAAAAGTCAAGGGTGGGAGATGGGGATACATTGAGCTTTCTTACTTGGAGAAACTGTAGAGTAGCATGGAAAGGGGTGTGGATGAAGGGAGGACCAGAGCCAACAATCTGTCATACATGCAAAATAATCTAGTTACATTCCCCTATCTCATACCATAAATAAAAATAAACTCTAAATGTTTTAAGATCTAAGTAGAAAAAAGAGTGAAGTCTTCTGTAGACTCAGATACATGTGAGAATGCTACAAGCAGATCATTTACCTAAAGAAACAGCAGTTATACACTGCAAGGGACACCAAAAAGGTCACGACGAAATAACTCAAGGAAACAAATATGCTGATAAAGCTGCAAAAGCAGCCACCACGTCTATGGATATATAATTAGGAGCATTAATTTCACCCTTACCTACAGAATTGCCAATCCCTAAATATACCCAAAAAGAAATAGAATGGGCATCGCAACACAGGCACATCAAAGGACCAATGGGATGGTCAGAGGGAGTCCATGTCCTCTCGCCCTCCATGACTCTTATCACCCAGGGGGGGAGAATATGGTCCTGATATGCAAAAAACTTTTTGCCAGTAAGGGCTTACACAAAACGATTTGACAGGTCTGCCAGGCTTGTGCATTATGTGCCTAAAATAACCCCCAATGATCTAAATCTCCACCTGTACTAGTCCAACTTATACAGAGAAGGAGCACCTATCCAGGGCAAGATTGGCAAATAGATTTTACTCAACTATCTCCATGTCAAGACTATAAATGCCTACTAATCTTCATAGATATTTTCACTGGGTGGATTGAGATCTATCCCACCAAGACTGAGAGCACAAGAGGTAGCAGAAATACTCTTAAAAGAAGAAAATACAATTCCTCAATTTGGACTCCCTCAATCTCTACAAAGTGATAATGAACCTGGGTTTACTTTGCAGGTCACATGATTAGTTAGCAAAGCCCTAGGAATAAAATAGCATCTTCACTCTGCTTGGAGGCCACAGTCCTCCAGAAAGGTAGAAAGGCAAATCAAACAATAAAGAAAACTCTTGGCAAACTTTGCCAAGAAACTGCCCTTAAATGTTTAGATTTACTACTTATAGCCCTCCTTCCAATTGAAACTGTCCCCACAACTCAATTACAGTTAAGCACCTTTGGATCATTACATGGACGGCCATTTCTATACTCTATCTTATAACAGATCCTGAATCCACCAAACTCCTACCATATGTCACCTCCATAGCTAAGTTTCAACAAGCAATACAATATTTTGGATAAAGAAGAACTCCAGGGGCTGAACAGAACTCCAGGGGCTCCCAATCTTTATATCCGCCAGGATCACAGATATACATTAAAACCTGGAAAGAAGGAACTCCAGAATCGCAATTAACACCCCTATGGAAAGGGCCTTTTACTGTCCTGTTCTCCACTTCCACAGCAGTCAACGTTGCTGTCATCTCTAGTTGGATACATCACACACGAGTAAAGCTTATTACAACTCTACTAACCACGAGTAAAGCCTTATTGCAACTCTACTAACCCACCTGAGCCTGAAAAATCAAGCAAGACGTGGGAATGCGAACCAATTGAAAACTTTGTTTCTCTTCAAGAAAGAGACAACCCCCAGATAAGTTTACTTCTCAATTTTTGTTATTATTTATAAATTTCTTAATATTCTTTTGGTTTGGCCTTCTACTCCTCTGCTGTCTTACAATTCCTCCCTCCTCCCTGTAAAAACCCTTCTCAGAATTACTCTTTATTAGATCAATAGTCCTTTCTAAAACTCTTCTCGGCTGCTTACTTATTTGTGCACTACCCGACACTCCATTCAAGGCTTGCTTAGACCTTTTCTACAATTTTACACAATGAATAATTTCCTTCTATTCCTATTCCTGGCTTCACAAGTCCCTTTAGCACTAGGCACAATAAACACCGTTCTAAAACCAGAACCACAACCATGGGACCAAAACTCACTAATTAGGATTACCAAGGCTATAGCGTCGGGGAACATCACTAATTGCTGGGTCTGTCACAAGCACCCACAAGCTATAGGCCCCACACAATATTTAGCTAAGCCAGAGAACAAATTTGGTAATGAAACCTGGCGCTCAGAGCTAGCGTATATTTCCAAACCAAGTACATATGCCACCCTTTTCACTCTGGTTAACATAACTACCTCTCCATCTATCTGCCTATATACTGCAACATCGAAACATAAGCCTGCTCGTCCGGGAAAAGAGTTTCCTGTCTGCAACAAAACTAAGACTGCTCTATGCAAACTTAGAGCCTTATATTATTCCATGTTGTGGCCGGCAAATATTTCCTCATGTAGCACCATTGTTCCTATGGTTTTAACTAGCACCTCCAACACAGTCTGTGCTCCTGAGGGAATGGTTTACATATGCGCATATTCCACGAATAGGACGGCAGGCATTGGTTCAGTACACACCACCCCCACGGGATACATGGCCACTTCATGCCTAAATCCCTATCTCATTTATGGAATGTGCACCTTAGGATATTTAACTCCTAGACTGGCCGTCTACAACGAAACATCAACACCTTCCCAGCATAAGCTGGGACTCGTAGACAGCCCCTTAACTTGGAAAAGAAAGTCCTTTACTTCCCTTGTCCCCTGGGCAGGATACATGGAACATGAATTCATCCTTCCTAATCTCACAACTGAATTAGAAAAGCTCTCAAGTGAAACAGGGGGAGCCCTCCATGAACTACAACAGTCCCTCAACTCATTAACCAATATAGGCTTAGACAGTCGTATTGCCCTGGACTATCTTTCAGCTGCAGAAGGAGGAGTCTGCGCTATTCGAAATACTACATGTTGCACCTACATCAATAACTCCGCTAAAGTAGAAACAAGAATACGTGAGATTCTAAACCACGCAACCTGGTTAAAGAACCTAAGAGAATCCTAACCGGCAACCTCACTTGCTTAGAATTGGAAAAATTGGTATGGTCTCTCCTTGGACCCCTTATAATCCCTCTCCTTATCATACTAAGGATACTACTATTTGGTCCCTGTTCATTTAACCTACTTGTAAAATTTGTCTCTTCCAGATTACAGCAATTCCACCTCAGATAACGGTTCATCGGTGTTTTCAACCTTTCCAAATACCCCCGCAGAAATAGCTCAACATCCTGATCAAGCTGGCCAACAGTTCCAAGAACCTTACGCTTTTCCCTGACAGATAGCAAGAGAATGAGACCCAATCCCAACTTCGCCCGTTTGTCAGCAGGAAGTAGCCAGATGATTGTCCACGTCCATAATCCCCCAATGAATTGGGTGTCAAACTCTTGAGCGAGGGAATGTTAGAGTAGGCAGTTAGATAGATAAAAGCAGGGCAAACTGATCAAAGACCATGCTTAAGAAAATGGGGAAGGAGGGACAGAAAGCTAAAAACAGCCATCAAATTTAGACAAAAACAGGAAGGAGGGCACCAAGAGGGCAAATCTTGCAAAAACACCTGCGAACAAATTCCAGCCCCTCAAGGAGTGAATGGTACAATAAGATTAAGGCAGAAAAAGGGAGGGGCAAGCATAAGATAAAAAGCCTGGAACTAGGCCCATTCCGGGGCACTGGAACCTAGCTGGAGTTGCCCATCCAAGAGTTCCTTAGGTGTACTTTCACTTCGAATAAAACTTTGCCTTTTCGCCCTAGCCAGTTTGGCTCAGTGGATAGAGCGTTGGCCTGCGAACTGAAAGATCCCAGGTTCCATTCCAGTCAAGGGCACATGCCCGGGTTGTGGGCTTGATCCCCAGTGGTGGACTTGCAGGAGGCAGCCGGTCCATGATTCTCTCTCATCATGGATATTTCTTCCTTCCTCTCTGAAATCAAAAATATATTAAAAAACAAACAAAAAACTTTGCCTTTTCTATCTTGTGTTGAATTCTTTCCTCTGAGAGGTAAATACCTGATCTCCAGCGCTGCTGACAAGACTAAATCCTGCTTAAGGGGAAATGTTCCATGAAAAAGACTTGAGGTTTCATGGAGCTCAAATCTTCTGAAGGAAGGAAAAGAACTCCCATGTTTTAGGGCTGAGGAGACAGATCTGCCAGGCTCTCACATAAAACCTCAGAAGAGGCACGTGGAATAACAGACTGTAAGCAGAGGTGGCCTGAGCCTTATTTAAAATGCAACCCAACCCCAACCCAGCTCAATCTCTAATTGAATTGAGGTAATCAGTCTCTCCATCTGCCTAACAAAAGAGTGAAAGATACCATCTAGAACACATAATATATAGTATATAATAATAGTAGTAGTAGATATGTAAAGAGGGCGGAAAGAGTGACTGGTAATCAGAAGCAAAAACAAATAATAGGAACACATTCATGGGTGATCAAACCATTGGAGATGGGAGGCAAGGACTATAAAATAATGTGTTAAAGGAAAGAGGAAAATGGATGAAATGATGGGAGTTTGAACAGAAAATTCCAATCTACAAAAAAAAAAATGTGCATTCTAGCCTGGCCAGTGTGGTTCAGTGGTTGAGCGTCAACTCGAATCAGGTCAGGGTTCCATTCCTTTCCATTCCAGCCTCTCCTTTTTTTTTTTTTTTTTTTATTCTGGGATTTATTTACCTTCTATAATTGAAACTTTGTTGCCTTCAGTGGAGCTCAGAGCCAGCCGGGAAGCTTCGCTTCCTCCATCACTGGAGCAACCAAGCCTCCTGCTCGCTTCAGCTCCATGGCTGCCAGGCCACCATCTTGGTTGGGTAATTTGCATATAGTCGCTCTGATTGGCTGGTAGGTGTGGCTTAAGGCATAGCAAAGGTATGGTCAATTTGCATTGTTTGTATTTTATTAGATTAAAATTGATTTCAGAGAGGAAGTGAGAGGGAGAGATAGAAACATCAACGATGAGAGAGAATCATTGATTGGCTGCCTCCTGCATGACCCCAGTTGGAGATGGAGCCCACAACCCGAGCATATTCCCTAATGGGGAATTGAACTGTGACCTCTGGTTCATGTGTTGATGTGCAACCACTGAGCCACACCAGCTGGGCTGAATTTATAGTTTTGAGAAGAATTGATACTTTTATGAGATTGCATCTTCCTATTTTTTGGAACTTCTTTAAGTTTTCAACAGTTTTACTATTTTATCCAAAAAGTTATAAATGATTTTGTTAAATAAAAATATTGCTATGCACTTTTGATAACATTGTAATTGATATCTTTTTCACATTTACATTTTTAATTGTTTCTTGTTAGTTATGTACTAGTAGAAATACAAACCTTTGTATACTGAATTTATATTTAGGAACCTTTTGAACTCAGTCTAATAATTTCACTATAGATTGTCTTTTGTTTTCTAAGAGGTCAATCATGTTTTCTGCTAAAAAGCTTATTTTTTTCTACCTTTTCATTAATTACACCTACTCTTTCATTCCTGTCCTTTTTCCTGGTTGAAACACCAATGGTTAATGTATGAGAATCTGATTGTGTTCACAGTGGCCTCCTTGCTGTTTCTTGAACATACCGAGTGCTCTTCTGCCTCTGGGGCTTTTATCTGCCAGGAAAGATGTTTTTCCAAATAACTTCATGGTTCACTCATTTCTTTCAATCAAGTCTTTGCACAAATGTCTCTTTACCAGAGGCTTTCCCTGATCTCCCTATATAAAATGTTAAACATAGAGTCCGATTCCATTTTTGATGTTTGACTGCTTACAGCTATTAAGCCCTACCCCTTCTGCTCCACATTTGGGCAGCTGATAAGAAAGTGTGGGTACTCTTTCCTAAAACACCTGTGGGAAATTCAAACTGCATGAAGGACCATAATTCTGGCTCCTTCCCTAACCACCATACCCCACCCCCGCTCCCAGCCAGTCTCCTTCCCCTGTTCACTCAATCCATTTTTGAACTTGCTTGGGAGCTGCCCTGCTTTCCCCATAAAGCCTCATTATGCAACCAGTAAACCCTTTCATATCGTGTGTGTGTGTGTGTGTGTGTGTGTGTGTGTGGAGAGAGAGAGAGAGAGAGAGAGAGAGAGAGATATTTCATCTGAACCAAATTTTGGGTGGGGAATTCATTCTGTCTCAGTGTAGGATGGCCACAACAAAATAGCATCCACTTTTGTAATGCATCCAATGCTTGCTTTATTTTTCTTCATAGCACTTACCATCATCTGACATATTATATACTTGCTTATTATTTGTCATGATTGAATGATAGATCCCAGTACTTAGTGAAGTATCTGGCATAATCATCCACCCACCCATTCATTCATTCAACCAATATTTATGGAGTGCCTCCTTTTCCAGGCACTAGTGCCTTAGTGCTATAATAGTGACCAAAGCCCTTGCCCTCATAGAGCTTACATTCCAGAGGGCAGGGTAGGTTATTCAATACATATTTGTTGAATGAATAATAATATTTTTTTTTCTTAGGTGGAATGTTAAAAAGAAACACAAGTCATATTATGAATATAAATTTTTAATCACTCTTTAAAGATATATTTTTATTGATTTCAGAGAGGAAGGGAGAGGGAGAGAGATAGAAACATCAATGATGAGAGAAACATTGATCGGCTGCCTCCTGCATGTCCCACACTGGGGATCGAGCCCACAACCTGGGCATGTGCCCTACCGGGAATCGAACGGTGATCTCCTGGTTCATAGGTTGATGCTCAACCACTGAGCCATGCTGGCCGGGCTTTAATCATTTTTTGCTACAAACTAGCACTTATTTAAAAATAATATTTAGTAATTTATACTCAAAGGACATGTTACAAGTAACATCCTGAGAAGACAATCAAAAATATTTTTTGAAGATTTACTATGTGCTTAATATTAAAGAGCTCCTAAATATGCACATTGTTTGCATTAGTAAGATGAGATAGTTAATTTCTGGCTAATGATTACTGAAGAACACTGAGGAAAATTTTGACCATTATAATCAGTAAGAGTATAATTTTATATATCTCGAAGCACAGTGGCCATGTTTAGCAATAGCCTCACATAAATTAAAATATATACTCTCTTCATTGTTGTATTTTGATGCTGCTTGTTTTTTCTTCTCCTTTTGCAAGTAACCAACAAGACACAAACTGCTTCCAGTTGGCAGTCCAAACAGAGGCGGAATCATGGCTAACCATCTAGTTGCTAATGTTTGTGAAAGGGAAATTGCAAACTCTGAGTATGGTTGAACTTCACCAAAAGGGGTTAAGCTCCTCCTTCTGACCACCGTATTCCATGAGAAAAGTGTTTAAATTATTAAACACTCTGACTTCTAAAATGGATTTTTAAAATTCAATGCAGAGATTCAATAACTATCAAAATTTCCAACACTGATTTTTCTAATATCCTATTAGGAGTTTTGAGACTAAGTTGAAAATTTTAATAATTTAAACAAATATAAGCGATTACTATTTGTAATTTACATAACTTACAACTGTAAGTTATGTAAAAATAACCAATCACATGACTCCAGGTCGTGTTTATATTTAAGATATAAATATAAGACTGATTTTTAGAAAAAAAAGAATGAAGAACATCTCCATTATGTATCTTTGTTCCAATAAACTTTTTCAGATAGACCTATGAAACAACACAGCATAATATCAACGTATCTTTCATTTCAAAGGCCAAAAATATAGAGTTTAAGTAGTGAGATAATTTCTGTTGGATTTTATATTTGCATCAATTCCTGAGTTAATCAATTAATTAACTTAGTTAATCATTTCTTTTTCTAAATGAGTAGCAGTTGACTTAATCCCGCCCAAATGAATGAGTCTCTTTTGGTTGATCAATGCGATAGAGAAACTCTGCAGGTAAGAAGTAGCCAAGATACTCCACTATATCTGGGGTAGTGTCATGATGGTAGTGTCCACCTTCTCCATGATGACTGAAACAGTGAGTGTGCTCCAATCGCAAATCAAACCCCTAGAACAACAGACAAACTATCTGTTAATATTAAAATTATTTTGAACAGAATTTACTTAAGGGGGAGGGAGACCTTTTAAATTTATATTATGGTAGTTTTTATTTTATTGTTTAAGTAGGTAATACATTCATATGATTCAAAAGGATATATTCAGTAAAATACATCTTTCCATTTCTTGCCCTCACCACTCACTTCCTTTCTTTGCAGGCTACTAATGTAAGCAGTTTCTTCCATATCCTTCCAGAAAGATTTATTTATTTTTTTCACTCAAATAGTAGTACTCTGTACATATTGTTTTTCTTCATTTAACAATATAGCTTGAGATCTTTGTATATCAAATCATAAAAGAGTTTCCTTATATTCTATTGTATGTATATGCCACTTTCCAACTGATGTTTAGATTATTTCCAGTTATTCTATTCTTATAGCAATTCTGTCATGAATAACCTTGTAATTAATAATTTTACACGCTTATGCAAATATTTAAAGATAAATTTCTAGGCATGTAATCATTGGATCAAAAGATATCACTAGCCAGTATTTTGGTAGATATTTACTTTGAATTGATCTATAGTATAATATTTTTCCTAGTGTATAGTATTAGAATATAATGAACAGTATAATAAACAGCAAATACAATGAGTCATGTTGTAATTCTACTATTTAATAACATGACTTTGGGTATTATTTAAAATGCCTGTGCCTTCATTTTCTCAAAGGTAAATCTGCTCTGCCTAACTCAAGATTGCTAGCCACCTGCTTCCTTATCTTTCAAGATAATTCCTAGTTCTTAAATAACAACACAAAAAATGTCAAATTAAAAAAAAAAAACATCCTAAAACTTGAGCGTCTCATTGTGGTATACTACAATATAAAAGACAGACACAGACTTACTGGGTCTTTGGAGACAAAAACTGGCAGACAAATCAAAGGAGCCTTCATCTCATAAAAATGCAACCAGTTATTCACGTCTTCATCAGAGTTCAATGGGCAGGGAGAAAATTCTCTAGGCTACAATAAAAGATCATTAAACAGGTAAACATACTGAATATTTTTGAGAATTAAAATTTTATATTAAGTTAAAAAGTTTAAGAGTTCTTATACATTGTGTTGACTATTTTTGGCATCTAAAGTTATATACCTTAATTTTTAAAAGGATCACCAATCAGTGTGTACACACTAAAATGTATGAATGAATAAATGAAGAAATGAGTCTATTAATGTATTTTTACTTTTTGTAGCCTCAGTTTTCCTGTGAGTATATCCTCATTCTAATCTTATGTCATCCTATAGTACACAATATTTTTTATTAACTATATTTACCATTATGTACATTAGTTTCTAGAACTTGTTCATCTTTTTTAAAATTGGTTTTTAGAGAGAGAGGGAGAGGGAAAGAGAGAGAGAAACATTGATCGGCTGTCTCCCACACACTCCTTGAATGGGAATCGAACTGGTGACCTCTTGGTATATGACCAGAGAGAGGCTCAATCAACTGAGGCACACTGGCTGGGTGAACTCGTTCATCTTATAACTGAAGTTTGTACCCTTTGACCAACTTCTCTCCATTTTCCCCTGCCATCACTCCCAAACCCCTGACAATCACCATATAGATTCTACATATAGGTGACATCATGCAAATTTATCTTTCTCTGTCTGGCTTATTTCACTTAGTATAATGTCCTACAAATTCATCCATATTATCATAAATGACAGGATTTCCTTCTTTTTTAAGTCATATATATATATATACTGTATATATATTGTTTTCATAACTTGGCTATTGTGACTAATGCTGCAGTGAACACAGGAGTATATATATATCCCTTCAAGATACTGATTTCCTTTCCTTTGAATATATATATATTTTTTTGGTACAGCTATTTCCCATAATAGTTGTACCAATCATATAATCATTTGGTATTTACAAATAGATTTATCTATAATTCTGTTGTAAATAATTTGGAAAAGTAATTAGTTTCACAAATGTGTTTCTTTGCAGGGTCAGCTGGCATGCCGTTTTAAAATAACAGGATAAAAAAACATTAAAACAATACATTTTCTAATGGCTTTACTGATAACATCACTTCATTGATTCATTCACCTATCAAAAATTATATTAAAAGTCCCAAATGCCCTGGGTCTGTCTTCAAATAGTATTCCATACTTAATGTCTTATAAACTTATTATATTTAGCCATAGATTGTAATTTTCATGAGTTCTTTTCCCCAAACTACAACCATTCTAATAGTAAAGTCTATGTATTAAGTATGGGATTCTGGCAAAGTAATAATCAGCTTCTCAGGCTTATACTCACATCTATCTTGATCTGAAAAATAAAGACATTGAAAAGAAAGTTCTAATACATTAACATAACTCTAGCTAGATGTCATTGTACAATATGATTTACAGTATTGTTTGTCATTTAAATTTTAAAGTAATACAATCTAGTAAAATTATTTATTTAGGATGTCTTTAAAGGTAAAATTCTCAATGTGCATTAAAAAAATCCTTCAGATCTTAAGCACATGCCCACACATACATATCCACAAATGCATGCATTCACACCCCCACAGGCCCTTACCATAACGTGAGTCTTCACTTTTCCTTTCTGAATTACGAAAGTACCTCCCATCCCTATAGGCTTATCTCCATAATGTTTTTCAAGAGTCTGTCTCATGCAAGTCACAAAATTAAGTTTTCCATTTCTTCTTTTGGCTTTCACCTCAATGACCTAGAGAGGACATAAATATGCATACCATTGTTCTAAAGTGCAAAATTTTATGTAAATATCTACCAAAGAGAAACATTATACAATCTAATGCCATTAAGCAAATATTCACTTTTTTGCTTAGAGCACCCAAATATCAATATAGATAGGTGTGTGTGTGTGTGTGTGTGTGTGTGTGTGTGATAGAACATTTACTCTAATAATAATTTTTAGTCATGCTTTCTTGGACTGAGAAAGAGTTATGGCTAAATCCTTCACTGAACTCTAGAGATTTTTATCATTACATGTCAAGGTGGTCAAGGGTTGAGAATTCCCTGGCTGAAAGGGTATTGCTTAGTATGTGTTATTCCTAACCTCAGTTTGAAATGAGACTTTCACTCTGCCTACAGTACTTTCTGAATCTTCCATGACTGGATTATTTAATTGCAGGGGAGGGGAAAATGATTACATTTTTGTCACTTCCTTTAAAATTCTAGACTTAGGTTATCTTCACCTAATTAGGTATTTTTACTTCACTACCTCATTTCTCAAAGTAGCTGAAGCAACTATCTGTACTTATTATAAAATCTAAGCGTTCTCAAAGCTAAAACTGAAATCATCCTTTTGTGTTCTAACGTGAAGTAAATCTGAAGTGAGGCATTAATTTTCCTTACCTCCGTCTTGCTACAATATTTTGCTAACATCATTTCTGTCTAATTCAATCAATGTTTGATCAGTCAGGAATGAACAAATTGCATCGATTCTAATTATAGGTAGACATTATCAGCTACATGGTTCATATATTTGACTAATTCACTCCCCATATGGATATCCTGATACCTTATAGTTCCTAAAAAGAAGAGTATTGCTTACTAAATATTCTTAACCTCAGTTTTATTTTTTTTTATTTTTTTTTATTCGACAATCCCCTGCCCTCCCTTACCCCCCAGTGTCTTATGTCCATTAGTTATGCTTATATGCATGCATACAAGTCCTTCGGTTGATCTCTTACTCCCCTCCCTTCTGCCCCCCAACCCTCTCTGGCCTTCCCACTGCAGTTTGACAATCAGTTTGAGGCAGCTCTGCCTCTGTATCTATTATTGTTCAAAAGTTTGTAATGGTCTCTATTATCCATGAATGTGTGAGATCATGTGGTATTTTTCCTTCATTGACTGGCTTATTTCACTTAGCATAATGCTCTCCAGTTCCATCCATGCTGTTGCAAATGGTAAGAGTTCCTTCTTTTTTACAGCAGCATAGTATTCCATCGTGTAGATGTACCACAGTTTTCTAATCCATTCATCTACTGATGGGCACTTATTAACCTCAGTTTTAAATGAGAGTTTCACTCTACCTGTAGTACTCTCTGAATCTTTCATAACTAGGTTATTAAAAGAGCTGCTTTTTAAAATATATATTTTTTTATTGATTTCAGAGAGGAAGGGAGAGGGAGAGAGAGACAGAAACATCAATGATGAGAGAGAGTAATCAATCCGCTGCCTCCTGCATGCCCCACAATGGGGATTGAGCCCGAAACGTGGGCATGTGCCCTGACCGGGAATCCAACGGTGGTCTCCTGGTTCACAGGCCAACGCTCAACCACTGAGCTACAATCAGCCGGGCTAAAGAGCTTTGACTTAGGCACTTTGGATATTTATTAGAAAACCATATTTGTGGTGGCAATAAAAGTTCAAATTTTTAGCTGAGAACTTCTGAAGAACACTGTGTTTTTATGGACAAAATCACCTTTCCAGGTTGGCCCTCACTGGCAAAAAGGTTAGCCAGTAGTGCACATCCATAATCATGGTATTTCTCACTGTATTTCTCTAGTAGGCACCCTCCATCTTCAGGGTTAATGCAGGCAAAGTAACTTCCATTCACAGGAGGTTTGTGTTCACTTTCTGTTTGAATAACTGGCATAAACTGAAAAGAAAAGTAAATTAAGTAAAATTAGTCAATCTTCCTATCTCTTTGCAAACAGGATATCTTGAATAATATGACAGAATTTTATCCTATATTTTAAGACATTTTATTTCAATACTAAGAAGACATGAAATATGAACTTTTAATTTTAGATTTAAAACAAAATGTTAAAAGATTTACAAATATCAAAAAGCTGAAAAAAACATTTTATAAAATGTTTAAAGTATTTCTTACAGTGTTCCTATTACATTGTAACGTTTACTTTATTTAAAATGTCTAATTAAATTTTTTTTCCTTGAACAGTAGGAAAATTATATTGATTCTCCAAAAGAACTTGATTATTGACTAATGGTCATATCTGTAAAGGTTGTGAGAGAATGGGCACATTGAAGATGTCACTCACTCTTCTGTTTATGAGATGTGAAGAAACAGTGCTATTTTTATGTTAGAAATATATTGACATTCACAGTACTAGATATTACCTTTTGTAAATAATCATACTACTGGGGTAGGTTTCTACAATTTGGTCAGAAAAGGGGTGTTGACTAGATCATTAATATTCCACTCATCTTCTGATAGAAAGCTGCTCTTGTACCAAAAGCAAAGATTTATGGAGAAGCTGAAATCCTCTGATGTATAAGGATTAAAATCTTTCACAATCCAGATCCACAGTAGACCACAGTTGGACCTTGGACTCACCTAAGAATGAGTTTATACCCTAAGAAAATCTGAAATTAGCGGTTAGTGCCCTATTATAGTTGCATCAGTTGGAGCATGTGCTATAATCCAAAACTGTATCAAATAGTAGCAAATCTGTAAAGAGACATGATATTAACCACTTACAATTCATCCAGAAAGTTAAGATTTCTGATAGGGAAGGAAAGGCAAACCAAATGTCTAATCAATAAATAAAATAAAATAATTATATATGTGCTGACCTCAGAATTGAACCCGAGAGACTGAAATGGACCTGCCCCCGCTCCAAGAATAAAAGCTCCAGGAAGCTTGATTTCTTTTGCAATCTTATTTAGATCATAAACCTACATAAGAGGAAAACAGTATTATTTAAATAATAATTTATACAAATTCCCAGGTTTACTTTTACGACTGAGTCCATCCACAATTCCTTGCCACATTGGTCAGTGATGTTCTAATAAGAGGAATCAACCCAGATTCTACAATCTTCATGTGAATGTGAAGAGTAAAAGTACACTTACTTTTTTTTTATTTACAAGAGGCAATAAGTAAGGCACACCTCCTACTTCTGCAATTCTAGTTTTCCCACAGATTCCTAAAAAAAATAAAATTTAGGCAAATATCTAATGCAATTACTATAAAATGCCAGAAAACACTGGTTTAATTTATTACGAGTAGATAACTTTCCCATTTTCATAGTTTTACAAATAGTAGGGGTTGGAAGATGTAAATAGCTAGGACCCATGTACCATTCTAACTACCTGTGGCTCTAATACTGTCATAACAAAGCATGCCTTGATATAGTTGGTAGCATAAAGATAATATACAGTTGGTTATAGGGAAAGGGCTAGAATTGGGGCCAAAACCTGGATTGGATGAGGTTTCTATAATTTAACTTGTCTATAGTTACCTATTCCTTTAAAAATTCGTGGGGTTTTTTTGGTGGTTGGGGAGATGTTTAGCTAAAATTGAATTTTAACTTAAAATATTTTACTGTGGTAAAATACAACATTAGTTCTTTTAGAAATCCATATATGAAATCCTCTTGTCAAACTTGTTTTTTCCTAAGGTTGTTTATAAAAATGACAAGTAATTCGTGATAAACTTCAGATGCTAGGAACTTTCTACTTTCATTTTTTTAATCCTCACCCAAGGATATATTCATTGATTTTTAGAGAGAGAGGAAAAGAGAGAGAGAGAAGGGAACATCAGTGTGAGAGAGAAACATGGATTTGTTGCTTTCTATACACACCCCAACTGGTAACTGAACCTGCAACCTAGGTATGTGCCCTGACCAGGAATCGAACCTGCAGCCTTTTGGTGTATGGGACAACGCTTCAACCAACTGAGCCACCTGGGCAGGGCTCCACTTACATTTGTAATTAACATCACAGGTACAGCTAGACACAATTTGGGAGAAGACTTTTATTTTTAATGTAGAGTGGAAAATAATTACCTTTTGTCTGAGAAAAAGTAGTTTTATCAGTTTCATACTAACAGCATTACATAGTAGATATAATTGCTCTGTTTCTTCAGCTGTGCATATGGTAGATGTACACAATTCTTTTAGGTTACATTTATAATTAGCTATTTTGTACATGTTTTCCATGGGATCAGCAGAAATTACTCATGGATAAGACTCTTTATCATAAGTGCCAGTAATGCTGAAGTTTAGAGAAACCACCAATAGAGTACTATTTTAGTAGTTCAGAGAAGAGACAAGTAATGGCTAAAAATGGTGACTTGTAGAGATGAAAAGGAAATTAAGAAAAAGAGCAAAGAAAGAATAGGCAAATATGATGAGTTAAACTTTAGACATGTAGACCTCAAGTTGTCCTTAGCATATATAGGTGGAGATGTCCTATATATGACAGCTGGAATTACTGATCCACAGCTAACAAAAAAAGAGATCTAGGCAACATGTACGGATTTCAAAGTTGTTGTATCCAAATAGTCATTAAAACCACAGGGGTAAATGGACAATCCAAGAGAGATTGTACAGAATAAGAAGAGGCTGAGAAAATAATTCTGGAAAACATCCAAATTTAAGAGCCTGCTAGAAAGAGAAGAAATCAGGAGAAATGAGGAAGAAAAGAAAAACACAGAGGTAGGAAAGGCACCAAGAAAGACGAGGCAAAAGAACAAAGGAGAGGGGAGAACCAAGGGGAGAGAGAGTGTCAGGTAACAATGGGCAAAAAGTATGAAGTATGTAGAGATAAAATAATTCTAGTAAACATACCAAGGTCACTGGGGACATGAGCAAGATCAGTTCATGTAGAAAGTGCCTAACTATGTTTATGAAAGGTTGTATAAACATATCTGACTTCCTTAGTATTGTAATTTAAAGACTCATAAGTTATTGACCAGAAATCTCTTGTTCAAAGTATAACCCTTTGGATGACAGAATTAAGATTAAACATTTTTTTCTTTGTACCCTCTGTGATTTCTGATTTTTATTTTATTTGATTTTTTTAAATTGGGAGAGAATGTATTACTCTAAAAATTGGAAGAAACATAGCTATAAAAAAGCATTGCACTAAATGCTTTCAAGGTGTGAAGATAAATTGCCATCTGGCACACAAAACTTCTAGAATTTACAGGTCTACTTAAAATCAAAGACTGTTTAAACTGGAAAGACACTCCCCCCCCTTCCGCCAAAGGACATTTAAATCCTCCATGAACCCCAGGTACATTAATTAGCTTTCCCAGGGTAATGAAATCTGAATGTGGCAGAGAAAGAACTAGAGTTCAGGACTTTCATGTAAAACTATTTTTTAACAAAGATGTCAGTTGCATACTAAAAGAGTGAATAAATATTAGTGTTTATCTTCAAATTTTTCATCACAGTAGGGTATAGCAGGAGAAAGTTGTATTTTAAAAGCAGACCTAGATTTGAATCCTGCTTCAGTTTCCACATCTATAAACGAGGGCTAGTACTTACCCTGCAGTGTTATTGTAAAAATTAAGACATTAGATATAGGTATCTAGCATACTCTGTTTAACTATATTTACTCCACCAATATTAATTTCCCTTTAATAATAATTAAATTAATAATTAAGTAATTATTATTCTCATTTTATTTTTTAATATATATTTTTTATTAATTTCAGAGAGGAAGGGACAGGGAGAGAGAGATTGAAACATCAATGATGAGAGAGAATCATTGATTGGCTGCCTCCTGCACGCCCCCAATTGGAGACCAAGCCTGCAACCCCAGCATGTGCCCTTCGCTGGAATTGAACCCGGGCAGGCTGATGCTCTATCCACTGAGCCAAACCAGCTAGGGCTATTATTTTCACTTTAAACATGAGCTGGATGATCACTTGGCAAATTTGTTGAAGGATGTAAGTATTTAAGAGATGATTCAAATACAAGGTTTTTAAGTTCTCTTCACATCTTGAATAAATAAATAAATATTTAAGTAAGTTTCCATAACAGTCACTTGACCACTTAAAAACAAAATTCTCATGTAATAGCAAGGATTCTAGCCTACTAAATATTTATTATTACCCTATGAAAGTTATAAAAGTACATAAAACACACAATCTTTCCACAAGAGTACAAAATGATATTTGACCAACACAAGAAAACAGTGAGCATAGAAATTAAGCACAATTTAGTCTAAAAGTTGAAATAATATCCTTATTTGTAGATACTTTAAAATAATCCTTAAAAATCATTCTGGTTTCAGAAAAAGATTAGGACTGAAAAAAAAGTAACAGCAAAAATTGCTTACCTTTTACAGGAAAGGTAAATGGCTCCTTAGTCAAATCAGGGCAATCAACTACAGAGACCTGCACATCAGCAAAGTTATCCTTTAGCCCCTTCTGCAGAACTAATAAAGACAAGGAAAGCGATTACTTAGCATTAGGTAAAAATTTGTCACCACATATCAAATCTTCCCTCAACTTTTGTGTGTGTCACACTTCTAATCTAAACTTGTATAATTAAAAAAGAGGGGGAAGGGGTCTTATTAATGAATACAATTCAACATTAGACACATAGTCAATCACAAGGTATCATGTAGACTAAGACACATAAATACCAGTATAAATCATAGTGATTATAAACCACTGAGGAGAAACACTGCACTCAGGTGAGGACTACCTTTCTTCTGGGGAGAGGATTCTAAAGACATATTGAAATGTAAATATTTAAACTGATAGAGAGTAAGCAATTACATGCAACAACTTCCTTGAAGCTTACAGGTTGAGAAAGACAAGACACAAGAGTATATACTATATGATGTATTTAAAAAACAGATCACTAATATAAAGTGACAGAAGTCAGGACAGTAGTTACCTCTTGCGTACAGATATTGACTGGGAAAGCACATGAAGGAGCTTTCTGCAATGCTGGAAATACTTTATATCTTGATCTTGATGGTAGTGACACGGGTATAAATATGTTAAAATTCATCAAGCTGTACACTTAAGATTAGTGTACTTTACTATAGATATATTATGATTCAATAAAAAGTAAGAAAGTGCCCTGGCCGGTGTGGCTCTGTTGGAGCACCATCCCATTCACCAAAAGGTGGGTGGGTTTCATTGCCGGTCAGGGCACATACCCAGATTGTGGGTTCAATCCCTGGTTGGGGTGTGTATGGGAGCAAAAGATTGATGTTTCTCTCTCTCTCTCTCTCATTAATAAAAAACATACATACCCTTGGGTGAAGATTTAAAAAAAAAAAAAGTAAAAAAGCAAACAGATGTCTCAATGTTATAAATCTAAGAGCAATATATTTTTAAGGATGAAAAGTTCTTATAAAAACTTCTCTGAAAGTAGTGTCAACCATTAGTTTAAGTCTTGTAGAATCAGGGTCTCTAAAAACAAGAAGTCATCCTAAATCTAGCCTCAGCTGTCCTGTCATATCAGATTGATAGAAAAGAAATACAAGCAAAGAGTACTAGCAATATAAATTGTTTATGAGCTGCCATTCAGTTTTGAGAAAAAATAGGAAGGTGTAAGAGAGCCAAAACCAAGTAAAATATGAGTCCACTTCTTGACTTGAACCTTATCAGAGGGAAAGAGGAACTACTAGGACAGATACACTGTGAGAAATAAGGTTAGGTTTTAGCGTTACCATCAGAATACAACCTAAAGGCTGTCAAACAAATGTTAGCATTCTGACAGGCTCTCCAGTTTCAGATTAATTATTCTGTCTTCACCTGGCCAGTATGGCTCAGTGGTTGAGCATCAACCCAGGAACCACAAAGTGGTGGATTCAATTCCTGGTCAGGGCACATACCTGGGTTGCAAGCTCAGTCCCCAGTAGGAGTGCATGCAGGAGGCAGCCTATTGATGATGTTTCTCTCTTATCGATGTTTCTCCTCTCTATCCATCTCCCTTCCTCTCTCTCTAAAATCAATAAAAACACATTTAAAAAATTATTCTGTCTTCATTTTATATTCTTATTTTTTCTTTTTCTTTTCTATCTTGCCTCTTAATGTATCTTGTGAAGCTGTCTTAAATTCTTGTTTGATCAAGGTGAAATACTTAAAAATACATGGAGCCCTGACCAGTTTGGCTCAGTGGATAGAACGTCAGCCTGCGGACTCAAGGGTCCCGGGTTTGATTCCGGTCAAGAGCATGTACCTTGGTTGCAGGGCACAACCCCAGTAGGGGGCATGCAGGAGGCAGCTGATAGATGTTTCTCTCTCATCAATGTTTCTGACTATCCCTCTCCCTTCCTCTCTGTAAAAAATCAATAAAATATATTAAAAAAAAAGAAAAAAAGTTTTAAAAAAATACATGGATACAGAAACATATAAGCAAGTTCATTGGCAGTTTGTCATACGGGGTTGGGAATAGTATATTGGGAACCTGATTAATACTCCATAGTAGGTTATATGTTTAAAGAATACTGTAACTGATAAAAAGTTAATAAAGCAAAATTGTGCAATTCTTTGAGCACTACACACCCTTAAACCTTAAATGTAGATTATTATATTTATTTTCATTCTGTAAAATTATCAAGAATCTTCAAATAGTGCGTTTAATTTTTTTTTGAGGGCCAGAATTTTGGACTCTCAATACAAATAGTATAGAACATACTGAAAAGGAAAATGAGTTCTGTATTGAAAGTACTATTGCGTAAATCATATCTTAGAATATTTTTATTTTTTCCTTAGAATAATTTAAAAAATTTTTAAGTATTGTACTTACCTCCAACAAGTTCCTCTAGACTTGGCATATGAAAAGAATACTCAGCACAGGCCATTTTCTTACTTCTTCACGTGTGAGGATGCACAAATAAAACTACTGCAGGCTGATTATCATAGGAGTTCACAGTGCACCACGTACAAATAGCTGCTGCTCTGGAAATGAACATTCAGAGTTCAGTTACATAAAGAGGGCAAAAGGGCATTAGTTTTCTGTTCTCACAGAAAGGCAGCCACGCCCAGCCGGTGTGGCTCAGTGGTTGAGCATCAACCTATAAGAATCAGTAGGTCACCGTTTGATTCCTGGTCAAGGCCCAGGCCCGGGTTGTGGGCTGGGCTCAATCCCCAGTGGGGGGCATGTAGGAGGCAGCCAACCAATGATTCTCTCTTATCATTGATATTTCTCTCTCTCTCTCCCTTTCCCTTCCTCTCTGAAATCAATAAAAAATATATAAAATCAATAAAAATAAAGAAAAGCAATCACAACTTCTAGTATTCAACATTCCCAGTGACAAAATGTCCAAGTAATCTCTTTTAATACCGATACTTTATATAATTGACATTTAAAATAGACAAGAAATGGCAAACCAAGAGGGCACATGGTTCATTTTCTTTAGTCATAAGCCTGGATTGAACTTGGGGTTTTCTAATGGTTGGGTTAAGGACTATAGGTCCTGAAACAAAAAGTAGTTATTAAGCTTTCTGAAGTAATTAAATGGTTGAAGATAACAGTACAGAATGCTCAAGTACTTCTATATAATAGATCATTTGTGTTTTCTATTCTATAGTTGACATTTAGGCTAAAAATTAAACAAGTTTCTTAGATTATCATTTTTAAAAAAGAAAATTTAAATTAATAAGAGAAATAGAAACTTCTGTTAATGATTAGCTTTTGAAATTCAAATTTTCATTTACAAATTAACATACTTTCTTAGTAAACAGCTTCAATGTTTAATTATTCTCATAATCTAACCAGTTATAATTTGATATTTTAAAAATATATGCTAAGTATATTTTATAATAAGTAGGCATATATACACAGAAATTAGTATCTTACCTCAAATGGTCAAGTGTGCAAGCAGAGGGAGATAAATAAAATGAAGGCAAAAGAAACAAATAAAAGTAATAAGGTGGGCAGGAAATCCCACTCTAGGCCAGTTGCAACAAGGAACAAAGGCAAAAGTTGAGGTATCTCTAAGAGCACTGTTGGAACTCTCATTAAAACTGTTAATGGAAAACCTCATTAATCTGAATAGTCTCTGCTAGCTACATGGTTACTCAGTAAATGAAAGGTGGTCCTTCTGCAGCACTGGAAAAATTCTTTCAAAAAAAAGTTTCTTTTTAACTTTTCCAAAGAGTCCCGGGTTTCTTATAAACTGAATTTTTAGTTTTGATGATAATTTCAAACTACATATCTCCCACAAATACGTTATTGCATACACTTAGAACTTGACATTTATTTCAGTACTTTATCAAATACCAACTTTTATTATACTTTAATTAATATGCATATTCTTGTCTCCCAAATAAAAGATAAACTGTTGATAATGGGCCCCAAGTTCTATATAATTATAATTCAACTAGAGGCCCAATGCACAAAACTCGTGCAAGGGGCTTGGCCCTCGCAGCCCTGGCTGCCTCGGCTGGCCCTCGTCCGGAAGGTCATCTGCTGTTTGGTCTAATTAGCATCTTAGTTCTTTATTATATAGGATGATCTCAAACATATTTTTTTAAAATATATTTTTATTGACTTCATAGAGGAAGGGAGAGGGAGAGAGAAATAGAAACATCAGTGATGAGAGAGAATCATTGATTGACTGCCTCCTGCACACCCCACACTGGGGATCAAGCCCGAAACCCGGGCATGTATCCTTGGCCGGAATCGAACCAGGGACCCTGTAGTCTGCAGGCCAATGCTCTATCCACTGAGCCAAACTGGCTAGGGCCTCAAACATATTTTTAATGGAATAATCTATAATTGTTTAGGAATTAGACATTTTAACTTTCCCTTTAGAAATAATTTCAGATGGACAGAAATACATATAAATAATTCCTGTATACTCTTCGCCTAGATTTTCCAAGTGTTAACATCATACTTTCTTTACCATACACCCAGCAAGTACTAATTAAGAACATGTCAAAATCTGCTCAATTAATATAATTTATTTATAATGAGGATAATAAAAGCATTCTAGATATTTCTACTTCTAGTACAAATAATAATGACTCAAGTTTAAATCAAACATATCCTAATTTTACACCCTTTACTATCTTTAAAAAGGTCAGTTTTTTTTTGGTTTACTTTTTCACCAAAATAGAAAGTCCAACCCTGGGGGCTGTAGCCTGAATAACTGGTTTAGAAATGTAGAACTTCAGTCAAGCCAACATCCCAGAAGGCAGTGTGGGAGTGTGTTGAAGTGGGAGTTGGAGGGGTGATGAGAGAAAGGAATAGAAAGGTTCTGATATAAACTCAGAGTGGCTCCAGGACAGCTGTGGGCCATATGGAGGCACAGAGCATTTACCTCTCATACTCCATTGCTTAGAGTCAGTGGCCCAGAAGTAGGGTCTAGAGATGGGAATAGAAATAGGAACCAGCTGGATAAATGGAACTGCAGAAACAATACCTAAATGGGTGAATGAGCTATGGTAACCACGCTGATAACTATTTATTAACTGCATTTTATGTACCAGACACTATGTTAGGCACTTTACATTCTCTCAAAACCTCTTACAACCATGCTGATGTCCTCATTTCATAAGAGGGAACTGGCTAGAGAATACAGTATTTACCTGACACCACAGCTATTATAAGTGGCAGAAACAGAATTCAAGCCAAATCTAACACACTGCAAAGCCAGAACTCATCACATATGCCAGTTAACCAGTGAAGGAATGACACATTTCAGCTCACAATAAGGAAGAATTTGTATTGAGTGATCTTACAGCATTGAGGATACCTGTGATGATCTGTTTGCTTTGTTTATTCCCCCCTAGACCGGCATCTCTTTGAAGATAGGGCTGTTTCTCACATTTGACTTCTATTACAGAACAAATTCAAATGAGTAAATTTGAGGATCTAATTGGCTTTATTAAGAGATCCGTGAACCAGGCAGCATCCCATCCAGTAAGTAGAAGGGCACTCCGAGAGATGGGCCATAAATGGAAGGTTTTTCTAGTCTGAAGGGTGTGGCAGATAAGTTATTAGCAAAAGAAAAGAAAGGATTATTTTTAGGCCAAGTTCTATTCTTTGGGGGTGAAAGGGCCTGAGGGTTGTTTATCAAGCAGATTACCTCACTAGTTTTGATCTGGGATATTCTAGAATCTATGGATTGGCTTCCAGTCAGTACAAAGGTTCCATATTTTGAGTGGCAATCAAAGCATGATCCTTTCACAGCTTACATTTTAGGACCTTTAATGATACTTTTCCCGATTTTTCAACAAGTGACACTGCATTTTCATTTTATAATGAGCCTCACAAATTACATGCCCAGTGCTCCCAGGCAGTGGACGGGACATCCATACCTGTCCTGGAGCTCACAGTATTTCATAGACTGGACATGCTCACAGCATCAGACTTTCTATGCCTGGAATTGTTCATTATTTGGAGCAAAACTGAGTGAAGAGACCGGATTACCTTCTAGGTCTGCCTTAACCTGAGATGACACTAACTATAAGACTAGACAGGTTCATTGCTTATCATATGACACAAGAGGTCCGAACATGCACAAATCAGACCAGCTTATTCCGTTTTGTGACCGCTTTGGGGAAGAAGCCCCACCAAAACTAAGCTAGTTTTAAAACTGGTTTATGTAAATACTCGGGAACTAAGGGGGGGAGGGCTGAGGAAAGGAATTTATCTCCAGTGATATGTTAACCAACTCCTGGGAGGCTGACCCCACTCGAGTTAAAGAGAGAACAAAAGTCCAAAGGTGGAGAGAACTGGGTGCCCTACGCAGTAGCACGGGTGTCAGTACAAAGGTTCCATATTTTGAGTGACAGTCAAAGCAAGATCCTTTCAGTTTAACACAGAAGAGATTTTTGAAGGCAAAAGGAGACCTAGTCCGACAACGCACACTAAGCACCACGCACACCCACTCACCCACACCCGGGACGCCAGATGTGCAAACGCGAGACCACCGGAAACAAAGCCGGCTGTTTCCTCGCAGTTCACACCCGTTCTGCCCACTTGTCCGCACAATTTCTTCCCGTCGTTTGCATGTGCTCTTGGCTATAACACTTACCTAACGGGTTAGTTACGGAAGCCTGCGCCTAAGCCCTCCTCAGGCAACCCCGCCTCCTCTGGGTTAGGAGTTCAGGCCCCGCCCACTTGTCATCGCTCCTCCCCCCGTGGCCACCTAAGCTGCGCTCCCCGTACTCCCGCCTCTCGCGTTCTTTCCGGAGCCAGACTGTTATCGCGAGAGTTTGGCCCCACTCTTAACGAGGTCTCGCGGTGGGTTCAGTCTTTTCCTCCGCGCGCTTGCGGAGGTCGGCGGTTGTTTCGCGCTGTGCTGCTGAGGCTGGCGGTTCCTGGCTGCGGGCTTCCCAGGCCTGGGCTGCGGGTGGCGCGTACGCAGCCGAGGCCCTTACGGAGCCGGCGCTTGGTGGTGCCCGCCGTCTGCCCACCTACACGGGTAAGAAGAGGACAGTGCCATCCGGGCCTGCTGGGCGGGGGAGGGGGTGCACCTCTAGCTTTCCCCCGGCCTCACCCACCCCCCGCGACGCTCGCGGGGTTCGAGCCGAAGAAGTCGGGCCTGAGGGCGGAGGCGCACACACCACGATTACAGTGGGTGTGATCCAGGGTGTAGGAGTTGTAGGCGACATAGGCAAGTGCAGGGGTTCTGGGCTAATACCACCAGGTAACGCTTAGGCCGCCTTCTGTGCCGGAGGGTAGGTGGCTCCTGAGAGGCACCAAGGTCAGGTAGTGGCTGGAGAGGCTGTGGGCGCCGGCCGGGTGCAGGGCAGGCCACGTGGCCTCGCCCAGTTTGGAATAAGGGACACTCAAATGCTGTCTAGATAAGTTTCAGAAACTGATTTTTGAGCTAACTACACTTCATTCTGAGAATGTCCTAATAACGTTTTAAAAAATTCAGCCTCAGGTATAGCACCAGCGCCATTGGACCCAATGTTGTTGAATTTAATTTTTGAGCATTTTTTGACATAGTCTGATTTTGAATTTAAACTACAACAAAACCATGAAAATACTACGTGAGTCCATTGGACATTTTGGGAAATCTAAGATATATGTGATCTTATTGATTGCCCATTGTTTGAAATGTTTTCCTGTTAATTTTAAGAAAACTTTCATCTTTACTCATTGGTCATTGTCAAGTATGTTAAACACTGGAAAATGCAAACGAGGAAGAATGATGACATCCTCTGTAAGGGCGAACCAGTATTGATTTCTCATCTTTATTTTACTTTTTAAAAAAAATATATTTTATTGATTTTTTACAGAGAGGAAGGGAGAGGGATAGAGAGTTATAAACATCGATGAGAGAGAAACATCGATCAGCTGCCTCCTGCACGCTCCCCACTTGTGATGTGCCCGCAACCAAGGTACATGCCCTTGACCGGAATCGAACCTGGGACCCTTCAGTCCACAGACCAACGCTCCATCACTGAGCCAAACCGGTTAGGGCATCTTTATTTTACTTTTTAAAAAATTGTATTTTGTTGATTTCAGAGAGAAAGGGAGAGGGAGAGATGGAAACATCAATGTTGTGCCCTGACTGGGAATGGAACCTGGACCTCCTGGTTCATGGGTCAATGCTCAACCACTGAGTCACCCCGGCTGGGCTTTATTTTTAATTTTAAATTATTTTCCCAAACTATTGTAAAATCTTCCAGGAATTTTTTTGAAAAGGAAGATAAAGGACATCAATGTTAATAGTCCAATAGCCTCATTGAAGTTTGAGAGAGAATTCAGAACTTTTAAATTAATAACCATAGTAACAAAAAGGTATGCCAAAAAGAGGTTTCATAGTGATTTTGTTGAATCAGTATGAATGGGAAAAAGCCACAAATGAAAATCCCAGGCCAGGAGTTTAAAAATGGTGTGATGGACTGAGATAGTAAATTATTTTTCCTGGTATACTGAGGCTTGCTTTGTGAAACTTTTCTAGTTCCCATCTGCTTTTGGAAAATGGCTTTTGGGCCATTAATTGCACATTACTAAATGACTAATGATAAAATTGCATTTTTTTCCTGTTATTGGAAAGATGTTTGATATTTTTGGGGGGGAATGACATTTTCTAGAATCTTATTCCACTGGATAGCTTTAGAGGCACAACTGAAAGATACAACACATTAATAAAATTTCTAGATTTTAGAATTTTTTATTTGAAATGGATGGTTCCTACATGAAAATATGAATGGCCTTGTAAATGTTGGCCTTAATTTGCATATAATGGCATAATCTCCATCAAATTTGCATTGTTTGAATACTAGCTGTTTGTGCTGGCACTTGTTCCTGGAAACTAGACATCACATGTAGTGTATTTTATGTTGTCAGAAATTTGGTGAAAGCAAAGAACAAGTGAGAATAACAATTTTGAGACAGACTGGAAGAAGATATCAGGAATGGATTCTCCGGACTACATAACAGTATCTGATTCAGCTATGGAAATTGAAAATCAAAAGTAAGTGCATTTTTTAATATCAACAGCAACTGCCAGATTTTCACTAGAAAACACTAGATTTGATGATAATGTTTACTGTACTTGAATTACCGGGAAAGCAGAAATCCTTGTAGATAAGGAGTGGTGGTAAAGGTAATTTTCAAGGATTAGGAAAGAAGAGAAAAACCTGAGCAGGTTTTCCTGCTTCTGTCCTTGAAGAAACATACATTACTGGTAATAAGCATTCAGTTATATAAAGAGGATACATTAATTTTTCCCCCTTTTTTCCCTAGTGATAGCTCTTCTGATAGCAGCTTATTTAAAACTCAATGTGTTCCTTCCTCACCTAAACGGAGGCAAAGAAATCCCATTAGGAAATGTGTTCATTCACTTGAAAGTGTTCAAGAAAGAGATTCATCCAGTGACTCATCTATAGAACCAAGACCATTGACTTTAAAAGCTATTTTTGAAAGATTCAAGAAAAAGAAGCCAAAGAAACGTAAAAAGAGGAAATATAAGCCAACAGGAAGACCAATGGGAAGACCAAAAGGAAGGAAAAACAGTAGGTCACAAATAAGTAAGAAACAACTTAAAGTTAAAAGACCTCAGTTCCCATTTATAGAGTCAGAGAATGGAAGAAAACCAATACCTTGGAGAAAAATTTTAACCTTTGAGGTGAGTTAGTGTATGTGGGTACCCATAGCTAAAGTGCCTGAAATGGTGTGTTGGTCACTTAGAATTTAGATGGCTTCACTTGGCTACTAGGTGAAATTTTTACGGGTGTATTTAGTGCATATACCTGTATGTAAAGTGCTCCAAGGCTGTTCATTTTCTTATTGATACTGAGCAGTTAATTTCTGACACAATTGCCTGATAAATGCCCTGTAATTAGCAGTATACGCTCCTGTATTTGATTTAATGTTTGCATAGTTAATTTTTAATTGCTTGATTTAAATTCTGATTTATTTGAGGGAATTAATACTGAACTTTTTTTAAAAAAAATGTTGATTTCAGAGAGGAAAGGAGGAAAGAGAAACCTCAATGATGTGAGGGAATCATTGATTGGCTGCCTCCTGCACACCTCCCATTGGAGCATGCAACCCAGGCATGTGCCCTGACCTGGAATTGAAACTGGGACCTCCTGGTTCATAGGTCGAGGCCTGGCAGTTAACCTATGTTTTAAGGTGATAATAATAAAGCCTCAAAAATTTGCTTATGTGCGCCCTGGATGGCTTGTCTTAAGTGGTTAGAGTAGCAGTTCTCAACCTGTGGGTTTCGACCCCTTTGGGGGTCGAACGACCCTTTCACAGGGGTCGCCTAAGACCATCGGAAAACACATACATAATTACATATTGTTTTGTGATTAATCACTATGTTTTAATTTTGATCAATTTTTAACAATGAAAATAAATCCTGCATATCAGATATTTACATTACGATTCATAACAGTAGCAAAATTAGTTATGAAGTAACAACGAAAATAATTTTATGGTTGGGGTCACCACAACATGAGGAACTGTATTAAAGGGTCGCGGCGTTAGGAAGTTTGAGAACCACTGGATTTAAATTCTGATTTATTTGAGAGAATTAATACTAAACTTTTTTAGTGGTTAGAGCAGGGGTGGGCAAACTTTTTGACTCGAGCGCCACAATGGGTTCTTAAACTGGACCGGAGGGCCGGAACAAAAGCATGGATGGAGTGTTTGTGTGAACTAATATAAATTCAAAGTAAACATCATTACATAAAAGGGTATGGTCTTTTTTTTTTAGATTTATTCATTTCAAACGGGCCGGTTTCGGGCCGTAGTTTGCCCACGGCTGGGTTAGAGCATTGGCTGGCTGGTACACTGAAGGTTGCAGGTTTGATTCCTGGGCAAGGTCATGTACCTCAGTTGCAGGCTCGATCCTGGTGAGGGTTCGTGCTGGAGGCTACCAATCGATGTGTTTCTCACATTGATGTGTACCCCCCTCCCCCCCCTCACCCTTATTTAAAAGCAATAGAAAAATAACCCCAGGTAGGGGTTAAAAGATTGTTTATCTGCATTTAAGTCTAGTAATTCCCAAACAACATAAGATTTGTTCTTGGTTGTACCAACTTCGGTAAGTTTGATAATTTTCTAGGTAGCAGTGAGTTTTACAATCAGCATTTGTTGTATTACATGAGTTGCATATGGCAGAGTAGTTAAATCAAGATCACTGAGAGCTCTTGGTAAGGAGGTCCTTGCTGTTTTGGAACACACCTCTTGTTGAGGGGTGGAGGAAAGTGTTATTTTGTAAGGCTGTGACTTTTTCTGATTTGTAGCAAGCAGTGGCAAGAGGATTTTTCAACTACCTTGAAAAACTGAAGTATGAATACCATCTCAAGGAATCCTTAAATCAGATGAATGTTGGTGAAGATCTAGAAAAAGAAGACCTTGATAGTCGTAGATATAAATACTTGGATGATGATGGATCGATCTCTCCTATTGAAGAGTCAGCGTAAGTTTAATCATGTCAAATTGTTTATTAATGCTCATTCATCCTTATGCTTTTAATTTGTTCATACTTTAATAATGATGGGAGCAAAGATACAATAGGCCATTTGGGTTATTACAGTTGAGCTATGAGCTTGGCACATGAGAGCCAATTTTGGGTGTTACACATGACAGTGTAATTTTCCTCCTTGACTAGTACAGCTATTTTGTGTGTAATAACTATATAATATACTATTGGGTTATAGAGGATTTAGTCATCTGATATTTTGAATATTGCAGAGAAGAAGATGAGGTTGCTACAAATCTTGGACGTGATGATGAATGTGATATCAAATTGGTGGTAAGTGACATTTTTATCCTGTTTCCTTTTGGGAGGGTGCCTCAGGTCGTACAGGAAGAATTTTATGCAATAGTTACTGTCTTACAGTCCCTGTTTAATTTTGGAAAGGCTATAATACATTTGGTGCAGGAAGTGCAAGAATAAAAATGCTTTTTGGGTAGTTGAGTGTGACATGGACTTTTCAGTACTATTGTTAGGTTTGCTACTAGGCTATCAAGTGAGAATAAAAGCAAAAGTTAATTGGATTTTTAACATCTTAGATGTCTCCAGGTTGAAATCATCTAGAACTCAGTTATGTGCAATTAATTACTAAAGCAATAAAGTTTTAGTTATTGCTTAATATTGGTATTTTTTATGCAGGAGAATAATTATTTCATAATAAGTTCTGAATTACCAAAGAAGATGAATGTATATTTAGAGCAAGAATACACTGAAGACGTTGCTTTGTCTAAAAAGAGAGTATCAAAGTCCAAAAACATTGGACAGAAGACAGAATGACCTGAAAAGGAGATACGAACATGAATGTCAAGGTAAAGAGACTAGAGAAAAAGAAACTACAGAAAGTAAAGATACGAATATATATGCCAGTCCAGTGATAAAGCTGCCACGATGAAAACAAATTTGTGAAAGAAACTGCTAAAGAAGTAATTATTAAGACAAATGGAAGTGAAATTGTGCATGTACAAAAAATTTGAGGCTTTCATAACAAATAATCTTTTGCACAATAATAAAGTCCTACTGCCTGGCCAGTGGCTCAGTTGGTTGTCATCCTGTGCACTGAAGGGTTGCTGGTTTGGTTCCTGGAAAGGGCACATAACCTGGGTTGTGGGCTTGATCCCCAGTTGGCGTGTTCCAAAGAGGCAGCCAAACGATGTTTCTCTCCTTTCTCTTCAGTATGTCCTCGGGAGAGGATTAAATAAAAATAAAATTTTTAAAAGGGTCCCACTGTTTTTGCCTATACTTGTTTATGTCAGCGTAAGAGCTTAAAGGTATTATTTGAGCACTGAATCAAAGTATAGAGATTGTAATCCTAAAAATAAAATCTTACCACTAATGAATGACAACAAGTCACCCTTCTTAGGATATCTGAAACCCTTGCTGTATTTTTATCCAGTTTTATTCAGATAAAAGTGACCTTTATTGTCAAATGTTCAGTGCTGATAAGAATTGAATAATTTCCCCTTAACAGCCTGGAATATTAACTATCATTGTCTTTTGTCGCCATAAATATTACTAATTATATTGCTAAATATACTGCATTTCACAATAGCACTTGTGTTTGTTTTTGTAATTTGTGGACAAAAACTACATACAGGTGCTAAAAATAAAGCCTCTTTTGCAACCCAGAACTCATTGCTCAGTATGAGTTTTGATACATATAAGAAGGAACATGATACCTAAAACACTGGTTCCAGGACTGTAGGATTAATAATTTAGAAAGCATAGAATATAAGGGAAATATCAACCATACTGCTTTAGTATTTTTATTTTGCTGTTGATAACACTATAACGAAGTTGACTTTTTTTTTTATTAGGGTTTTATCTTGAGAACACTGTCTGGATTTATGTCAACTCTTTAGGTGAGTTTTTGGATCAGATTTGTTTAAATGTAGCACATTGTCAGATAATAGAAATCTCCACAAGTTTCATTATTAAATGACTTTTTGCCAATTTTTAACTTCTGATTAGGACACGATTTCAGAAAATGAATCTTGGGAATCACCGTTATAGAGGGATACTGTGCCAGCTTCACTTCACTTGCAGGAAAGGGTCCCAAAACTGGCAGTTGGGCTATAGAAGTAGATTTAATACTATAATACTAGAAATGACTACACAGGACACGACTTCATACGTTTAGATGGTATAAAGTTTTCAAATGGTAACAACATAAATATAGCCACATTAAAACTTTTCCTGTATTTTTATATTTGATAACAAGTAGCTAAGGGGAAGATTATTTTATATAGATCTTCATTTCTGAGGCAAAAATTCTGTTAACTTGGCTGTGTAATCTGGGAATTTCATAGGCGAAAGATGGCAGTACCAAAATTCATAGAAATTAATTTATACGTGGATATTTCACCTTTGGGTTATCTAGAGTAGCTACTTGCCATTTTGTATGTTTTTTTGGGCAGGGTCAGAATGTACTTTCTGTGCAGCATTGTTAGAATCCTTTGTGATTAATTTTATGGGATAATTTTATTGCAAATTTGAAGATGTTTGACTATTTTTATAATTTTGAGTTTAAATGGTTGGAGCAGATCAGGTCTCATTGTCTTCCTATGGAGACTTAGGTTTGCTTATGCCTTTTAAAATGTGTAAATGATTGAGGTCTATCCCGATGGGTCTTTTTCTGTAGACTTACATCGTTGGAAACGCCTCATAGAATAAATATGTTGTTTCCTTTATTCACAGAACTGCATGTTAGATCTGTGGGAAGGAATTACAAGACAGCTGCTAAAACTGTGACAGAATTAATAATCTAATTTTTTTTAAATCTTAGGTATTTTTGTATATCGTGAAGATCTGTACGATTCTAGGGAGTGATAGCTTAGGTAAGTTTTAATTGGCGACAGTGTGACAACTTTAGGGTACCACTGCAGTTCAGATGATGAATTTAACTGTTCAACTGCTGAATGATACAGACATGAACTAAAACATAATTCTGACAGCTGAATATAGCTCTGTATAAGTTTTAGTTTTTAATCACATTCATCAATCTTTTATTTGGTGTTTTATCTGTAGGAGTGAAGATTTTAACTTAACTCATGTGTAGAGGTAAGTGGAATTTAATTTCTTTTCATTTATTAAGGATTCAAAGTTGTGAAAAAATGCAATTTGCGAGTAGAGTAAGTCCTCCCTTAACACTATTGATAGGTTCTGAAACTATAAGTGAAGTGATGTAAAAGGAAGCCAGTTTGACCACAGGCTAAATGATGAGAGAAGTTGCTGTGGCATCTCAACTTGATAAGGACACCTTGAACAAAAGGATGTTAATTCAAGGACTGCTGTACTGCATTCCATTACTGTTGTGACTAACACATTAGGTATAAAGCAGAATTGTCAATATCTTGGTGAAAATATTTGCCATAATTGTATTTATATACAAAATTGGTTGTGTGTGGGAAGTGGAATTTAATTTCTTTTCATTTATTAAGGATTCAAAGTTGTGAAAAAATGCAATTTGCGAGTAGAGTAAGTCCTCCCTTAACACTATTGATAGGTTCTGAAACTATAAGTGAAGTGATGTAAAAGGAAGCCAGTTTGACCACAGGCTAAATGATGAGAGAAGTTGCTGTGGCATCTCAACTTGATAAGGACACCTTGAACAAAAGGATGTTAATTCAAGGACTGCTGTACTGCATTCCATTACTGTTGTGACTAACACATTAGGTATAAAGCAGAATTGTCAATATCTTGGTGAAAATATTTGCCATAATTGTATTTATATACAAAATTGGTGTGTGTGTGTGGGGGGGGGGATGAAGAGACTGCATGTCTAGGGGTACAAAATAAAAATGTACCCTTTTTGCACCCTTTTATTAAATGGACCGTTCTATATGGTTCATCTTAGTAATGCAGACTTGGATAAAATAGCAAAGGAATTCCACCTAATAACAGTTTGAACAATGGTAACCTTTATTTCTAGTGCAAAGAGAGAAGATAAAGATAATAGTGACTTAGGTTTATAGTTTATTGCATTAATATGGTTGCCTCATTGACAATTGGAAAGTCGCTTTTTTTAAAAAAATTTCTTTCCCCCCCATTGACCCTCCCCCCACCAACCCAGGTCTTCACACTATTGTGTGTGTCCATGGGTTAATGCATATAAGTTCTTGGGTTAATCTCCCTCCCCCCCACCCCAATTCCTCTTGAGTTTTGTCAGCTGGTAACATGCTTCTGGATTTGCAACAATATTTAATCCTCAGATACTTAAAACAGAAGTGTTTATAGTTCAGTCATAATGCACTGCATGGTATCTGCATTCAGTAGTTTATTCCTGCTGGGTGTTCAAAGGACAGTGCAATATAAATTCAGTATCTGGCATCGTTGGTTTTCTTGGCTTTGTGCATGTTAAACCTGGTATTTTTATTGAGACATTATTCTTACAGTTCTTAGTGTTCAGTTAGACATAAGTAATCTTCAGTAGGAACTAATACTTGTCTCTTTCTAGGGTGTCTGATATTAAAAAACCAGGCAGATCCATCTACTCAGACCCTAACCATGTAAGCCTTTCTATTTCTGTTGCTTCTAGGGGTTTGTTTCCTTTATTGATAGCAAGTGTCAGCAGGAACTACTTCTATACATGTCAAAGCCTTTTGCATAGTGTATACATAAGCTTGAGAGAAACTTTTATAAAGCCTCATTCTATATGAAAATGGGCACTGTTTTTGTGTACGGTGTCCAGAAATTTGTTAATGTGGCTACATTGAGACACAGGTTATGCTTCCATCACAGTAATCTTATTACAGTGGTGACAATGAGACCTGTAACATTTTTGTTAGGCTCAATGAGCGGAGTATAAGACTTGAATTTCAGAAACAATTAAGGAATAGTATACCTTACATCACCTGCTAAAATAACAATAACAATGTTTTTCTTAATATTCAATTTATAGAGTCCTAAAGTAAATTGCTTGAAGAAATTAGTTCCCAACGATTATAGGTAAGATTTTAATTTTTTCCTTCAAACTCCCTCCTAGCTTACAGGAGACTTAAGCTCCTTTATAAAACTTCAGTATTAATGTCCTTGCATTTATTCACTTATTACAGTAGCCCATCCTGGTGGCTTATTACTACCACAAAAAAAAATTGGACATTAAAAAGGCCGACCGCTATGTTTGTACAGTTCACCAGCATGATGTTATGATGATGGGCAAAATGTTCAACTGCTCTGAATGAGCTGAATGAAAAATTGCCATCTGAACATCCATCTACATAATAAATATGAAAGCTAAGATAAGCATTCCTTGAAACACAAACATTTCCAAATAGTGCATTTCCTATGAGAGTTTTATGAATGGAAATGGATTAAGTCTTATTTTAACATTAGATTTGTTCCCAATATTTAATTTGATTAAAAAGATGCTTATTCCAATTTTCAGTTTCAAGCCTAGAACTTTCATTGTATGCTAGTTGGGAACTGGTTGTCAGGGTACTTTGGACCCTAATTAAATGTATTTTGAAAAATTTAGTCCAATATGAACGTTAAAATCTTTTTTCATAGGTGCAGAATTTTTGAAGTATGTCCATATTCAAGTGTAGATCAAAGAAGCTCAACTAAAGGGATTGTGGCAAGTTATTGTCTTTATCTTACCCCAAAGTATAAGGGTCATTACCAAGGCTTTTAGAATGCAGTTTCTCATTTGCCGTGGACATGACCACAAAACATTTCCCCAATAGGTTTTTTTTCTGCTATGTTGGTAGCATGCATTCAGCCCTACTGGGAACATTTTACTAACCTAGATTTACATTGCTAGATCACAGTCCACTACAGATATAACACAAGCTATAGGAGATTTCTGTAATAGTCCTTGGGAATCAGATTTGATGACAGCCATTTTAGATGTCTGGGGCTTGATGTCCTTTGTCTAGCCAAGTCCTTCTCAGTTATCATACAGTTTGTGATCATGATAATCTCTATTCCTATTATATAGGACTGACTTGAGATGACATCAGGATTGAGCAAAAAAGGTATGTAAACATTAGAAAAAGGTATTAACTTATGGGTCATTTCAAAGAGAGCTTATGGGACTAAAACCAGGAGCTCTTAACGCTGTGACCGAAAATTGAAGTTCTCCATAGGATGTAATAAACACTCAATAGTGTCTATTTTGTCCTGAAGGAGATATATGATTTAGCTCCTTACATTAGTGATTGGTGAGGTGGGAAAGTAAATTTTCTAAGTTTAACCACTGCGTACTCTTCTTTTTTAGGGAATAAGATGATTAAGACTCAAACTCTGGAGGAACTAAGGCAGTGGAAGAACTCAGAACATGTGAAATTCCTTAAATAAAAGTTTATTAAATAATTGTGCCTATGTTACAAATAATAAAAGTCCTTTATACTTTTTGTAGAAAGTCAGCATGTATTTTTGGCTCGAAGTTTCTCTAGTGTTTTCTGTGGAGGGAATAAAAGTAAATTTTAGTTTCAATTGTGTACTTTTGACATGAAAAATCACTTTGTACCTTACTCACCTTATGAAATTCTTTTGCTCTAGCTCTGTTTTGGGCATAAGCTTCTTGCTTTGCTTTCTCTTCCTTTTGCCGTTTTACTTCAGGTAACTGATTGTGTAACCTGTAAGAAATTTAAGTGGAAATCAAAGGCAGATACTTAAGAAATGTGAACATTATTAATACAAAAGCACACACACATAAAATATATACCTTAGAGTCCTTTGGTGCTTGAGGGCCTGTGCAGCCTTTCTGTCTTCGGGAAGTGACACTCTAACTTTACTTTTTAGGCCACTCACATGTGAACCTGAGCAGAGAACAAGTAATTGGGTTAGCCAGATTCCCTTTCTCAAATGAATGCAAATGTTTTGGGGAACTTACCTATAGAAAGTGTTGTCTTAATCACTTGGTTTTCAGGATTTCTAAAAACGTGTGTTTTATTCCTTATTTCTTTCTGTCTCTGGCAGGATCTCTCTATAAATGATTTTTTTCTCTTTGCAAATGCTTCTTGTAAGCTTCCTGGTGCAGGTGTAAACTTTGAGAGGGTTTCTGGTAGAAAAGAAAAGTTGAAGCTATTTTCACCTCATTGAGCAACATGCAAACTTGGAACTTCAACTTGTGTAGGGAACTCCCACTAGCCTTTGGATTCACTGACCCATTTCAGATGCTCAAGGCATACCTGCAGCTGGCTTCTCCTCAGAATGGTCTGGTGCTGCTGGATACTGTGAGTTTTCTGTTTCTGGTACAAGAGGCAGAAATTCACTCTCCTAATTGCAAGAAAGTCATAGATGAACTCAAAGTATAGCAAAGTTTAGCTAAAAACCCTGTCCGCTTTAGGACTGAATTTCTCTGGCTAGGGAAAAATCTTGATTTGCCCAGCTGTACTAGACAAC